CCTGGCCTGAAGAGCATCACTGCTAATGATTACTCTGCTAAAGCTGCTGCCCTGATCGCCCGCAATGCTCAACACAACAATGTGTCCCACATACTGCAAGCCAGCCAAAGAGATGCCAGGTCAGAGCACAAACTCCACTGTTTGGTTATTCCACTATTTTGCTTATACACTCACAAACATGCATTGAACACTAAAGTATGTCTTTATTTATATAATATTTATATTTTTAAATTGTATATTAATATATTATAAATATTAATATATGAATTAACTGTAATTTTTAGAATATTTTTTTTGTTTTCATTTTCTATTTCTGTAATTTTAAACTCCCCCACCCCCCAATTATCGAAAAATTATTTGTTATAGTTTTAGTTAACAATAACGACACTGATTCTGTTACATCCTAAATCCTGGTATAACAACATCTTTCCAGTATGGTGATGTATGAGGCCAGAGGGAAGAAGGAACGCTATGATGTTATTGATCTTGACCCCTATGGCAGCCCGTCTCCGTTTTTGGACGCAGCTGTGCAGGCTGTCAGTGAGGGTGGTGAGTCTGTCGCTGTTCTTTCACATGCACATTCTGAATTTATTTAGCACATATACAATATACTGTACATATACAGTAATCTCGCTCTCTCATTGTCAGGGTTGCTTTGCATCACGTGTACGGACATGGCTGTAATGGCTGGAAATAGCGGGGAGACCTGCTACAGCAAATATGGCTCTATGTCCATCAAGTCCAGATACTGTCATGAGATGGTAAGATGGGCACACTGCTGTTTGTGAATGGATGGAATGAAGGAAACTCGTATCATAACATCGTCTTAATCACACGCTCTTTGCTTTTGATTCTAGGCTCTGCGTATAATTCTGCACAGTTTAGATCAGAGAGCAGCTGTGTATCAGCGCTACATTGAACCTCTCTTGAGCGTGAGTGTGGATTTCTACATTCGTGTATTCGTCAGAGTCAAAACAGGCCAGGCCGTGGTCAAAAACTCTGCAAGGTAACACGGTTTACTCTGTCTACATATATAGAGATAAAATAGCTGCTAGTAATTATACACGAAATGAATACAGTAAAGATATTTATGATGTTACAAAAAAAATCAATTTCAAATAGATGCTGTTCTTTAACATTTCATTCATCAAAGAATACTGAAAAGTAATGAAACCTGGAGTAATGGCTTCTGAAAATTCAGCTTTGCCATCACAGGAATAAATTGCATTTTAAAGTATATTGAAATAGTATTTCAAATCGTCATAATATTTCAGAAATGTACAGATTTTACTATATTTTCCTAAATAAATTCAGCGTGTAAGCATAAAAGACTTCTTTCAAATATGTAAAAGAAATTAACAGACCCCAAACTTTTTTACGGAAATGTATTGTGTTATTAGTAAGTCCTGGTATCTGTGTGCGTTTCACAGTAAGCATGCGCTGCTGTATAACTGTGTCGGCTGTGGTGCGTTTCATCTGCAGAGGATGGGGAAGAAGATGAGCCAAGGCAAACAGTGAGTATTTCTACCTCTATGATTGATCTTTTCGCTTTTTCTCAATGCTTCTGTACTATGATTATCATTATGTGTTTCAGTAAGCGTATTTATATGTTTGTTACAGTATGAAATATTCGGCAGCCACTGGACCACCAGTAGGACCTAACTGTGAACACTGTAGGCAGAGGCACCAGGTATGAACTATTAATATCTCCTCTTATGTGTATACAAACAAAGTAAAATATTCCTTTGATGTTTTATTAGTTGGTACTGATATATCATGAATCCCTACCCATTTACCATGTTGTTGTCTGCTGATTTTATACACTTTTTAAAAAAAATATATCAGTACCAGTTGATATTGGATATGAATCAGCCAATATTGGGCATGTAATTGTGCGATAGCGTTATCATATCGACCAGAATTGTAATATCAGTACATTACTGTATAAAAACAACTGACATATTACAGTACATATTAACCATTAACTTTTTGTTTTGATTTCTTTGTTCCTGTCTCTGTTTTTGTAGTTGGGCGGTCCCATCTGGGCGGAGCCTATTCATGACATTAAATTTGTTCAGAAAGTTCTGGGTGCCGTTTCAGGGAACCCCACCCACTTCAGAACGTCCAAGCGGATCGAGGGGGTGCTTAGCATGGTGACCGAGGTCAGTCATTAATAAAGTTCATAGTAAGAATCATCAGCATGATTAGAACATGTTAAATGTCTCCAAGCAATAACAGTTTAGGTTCTCTGATTAGCGAATGAGTGCTAATAGTGTGAGTTGTGTGTTTCAGGAGCTGCAGGATGTTCCTCTTTATTATGTTTTAGATCATTTGAGCAGCACAGTTCACTGCAACACGCCGCCCTTGCTGCAGTTCAGGTAAACTCAATACAACATATTCAACCTGCATTATATGCTACTGTTCAAAAGGCTGTAAGAATGTGTTTGTTTTTTTGTTTTTTTAATGAAAGGCATATTTCACCCACAAATGAAAATTCTGTCATTTACTCACCCTCAAGTCATTCTAAACCCACAAGACTTTCATTCAACTTCAGAAGACTAATGAAGATATTTTTAATGAAATCCCTCCATTGAAAGTCTTTTCACTCTTTATGTGAATAAAAGCATAAATTTCATCTTTTCATTGTACAACGTGATTGTACCTCTTCAGAATACTTGGATTAAACCGCTCACTTCATATGGATTTATTTTACCATTTCTTTATGAACATTTTGAAGCGTCAAAGAGTTTTTGGTCTATAGACTTTCAATGGAGGGTGTCCTCACTTTGTTCCTGTTGTGTAGGTCAGCTCTCCTGCACGCTGGGTACAGAGTGTCTCTCTCTCACGCCTGTAAAAATGCAGTGAAGACCGATGCTCCTGCTGGGGTGTTATGGGATATAATTCGCTGCTGGGTAAGTGGCCACCATACACTCTTAAGAACCTCCCCAAAAGTTCTCACAAGGATGCTTTATTTTCTTATGTAGTTTCTCTGTTTGTTTATACTTTAGGAAAAGTCCAACCCTGTGAAGAGAGAGAGGTTATCAGAAACCAGTCCTGCTCAACACATTCTCTCTGCAGCCCCAACGTAAGTATCAAATGCCTAATATTGAATTCATCTGGTTATTTGATATTAAAATCCCTGTTGTGTATATTGCTGTACCTTTTAGTTTAGTTGAATTGCAGTTGAATTTAGTTTTAGTTGAATATACAACTGAATTACTGTTAATCATCATATTCTCTCATGTAGTCTTCAAGCCTGCTTTGAAATCAGAGAAGACGCAAACCCTCAGTCACGAAAACGTCACCTCACACGCTTCCAGGAGAACCCACAGGCCAACTGGGGACCAAAAGCACGTGCCAAATCTGGGTGGGTCATATTGCTAATGCTCTTTTGTTAAATCATTGGCAAAATCTTTTAGCTGACCTTAAAAGTGTAAATCATCTTTTTTTTGTATTTAGTGGAGGAATCTCTTCTGAGCTGGAGGACAAAAGAAAACAGTTTCAGGGTAAAAGAAAGAAACCGATCACAGACTCCTCTCAACTCAAGAGCTTGCCCTGTAAGAAGTTTCGAAAGGTACGTCCACTTGACTACAATATATGTAGTGTTTTCAGAATCATTGGAACACCTGAGAGTTGCTTTATTAGCTGTTGTTACCAAACTAGTCAGTATTTGAGAATTTAAATTGAATTTAAATAAAAATTTCTTTTAATTTTTCGAAGTACAAGAATTATTATCCAACTTTTATTCCAGAACATGTGATAAATAATGTATAAGATAAGTTCATTAATTAGGTTTAGCAGTCAGAAGTGTCCTTAATTGGTGATAAATTATTATAGCAATAATTCATACATATTAAAACAGCTATTTTACCTAACAAAGCTGTTTTGTTTTCTTTCTTTATTAGGGAACATGTACATATGGAGACAAATGCTGTTATTCACATGAACTTGAGCAAGAAACTAATGAGAAAAAGATGGACTAATTGGTTTTTTCAATACCGGATAAACATCACACGTGTCTAGATGTGTACAGATTTGCACCTAAAGTTTGTTTTTACGTTAATTGGAATTGTGCAATGCAAGTAAAATTTTTCTGGCGATGTGTTGGTGGAACACATTCTCTAAAATCGTTTTACCCTAAATTTTACCTTAAAGTTTTGGTTTTGCCTGGCAAATAAATATGAAATGTGAATGTTTGTGTTTTTCTATTCTGCATGAGCAAGACACATCATGTATCAGTTAAAAACAGTTTATTACTGATCATTAAATTTATTCCAGTTCATTCATTAAAAAAAAAGTGTCATTTTCATATGAAAGGCACAGTAGAAAAATACAATCAAATTATTGCACAAATGAATATTAGGAGATCTGTGTCTACAACACAGATGAAAAAATACAAGATGCCCATTTGGCCAGTGGCTAACCAAAGTAGAGCCCAAGAGATAAATGCAGAAGAAATAAAAACTTGAAATTCTTGTGGGTCATATACATCTTTATGAACATATGGCACACTATGTGTGCTGAATATCCATATCCAAAAAAAAAAAAACACAAAGAAAAAACTTTAGATTGATAGATTTTTGGTCCCTAGAACCAGTTCTAGTTGGATGATGCAGTGTAGTTGAGCTCTTTATGAATCAGTGGCAAGTTTGGATACTCCAATGCTACACTCTGATTTGCTCTTGCAGTGACCTGGAGGTTGTCAGTTCTACAGCTGTCGTACCCGTAACAACAAAGTGCGGATCTCCATTGGGTTTAGTGTCACTTCCCATGGTGAGGGGTCTTTGTCACTGAGAGGAAGGGGCTTTGATGTCTTTTCTGAAAGACAAACACATCAAACACTTTAATTATATCTGAGAGATCATTTGTTTATAAATGAGAGAAATTAATAATTGTAACCTGTGTTCCACTGCAAGCGGTTCATGTCCTCTTTCCACTGATTTGCCCCTAGACTCATCTCAGATGCTCCGAGCACCTCGAGAGTAGAAAACAGCTTCTGCACACACAAAGTTCATCAATATTAAAATGATTCATTATCAGTTTTTCTAATTTAATATAAGCAATAAGGCACTCAAGATTAAGCTGACTACATTCACAACAGGTAATGCACTGCTTTAAGTGCCTTATTGCTTTTTATAAAAACATAATACATTTAAAAATATTAAGGTCACAAATTTGTATTAAAACTATTAAATACAGTCATGTCAGATCCTATCACCTTTGGACTACAAAGAGATTCCATTGGCTGAGACTATTTTAGGGGTGTTCTATTTGTTGCCCGATTATAAATAACCGAACAATCACTTTCTGGTGTATATCTTACATGAAAGTCCTGTTAATTAATTACTTTGCTTACATTACTGAAGCTAAAACTTTCAGTTACACTTTGTTTTCAGTTAGAATCGTTTTTGGATGTTTGTTCAGAGAATTTATATACAGCCTTGTGAAACACAATTAGTATTCGACTGCAGCAGGATTTACTTTTTGTGTAAGTGGGAATGAAAAATGTGTTACCTGTAGGTTGACTGTAACAGGCTGCGAGTGTGTTTTGCTCTCTTTGGCCTGGTACTGATGTTCCAGCCTAATCAGAACCGTGTCTTTATCCCACTGAGACAGTGTCAACAGGTGAACAGCAGGGGGCAGAGAAGTCTGAAGCCCAGAGAACTGTGGGAAAGAGGCAATGATCAGTCATCTGCAGAGTTTACTAGTTCACGTCATCCATCCATTGACCCTCTACAAACCTCCAGTTTAGTGTTGGCAGAAGGTGTGCCGTCCTGGAAGGAGAGCAGGGGTTGGAGCACCATACCCTGTGCGAGGGGTCTGTGGACATCTGCGGCCGTGTCTGGTGGAGAGAGGGTCAGCAGCAGACGCCCTCGGGCAACTAAACCATCAGAAAACTCTCCCGGCTCAGAAAGAGGCTCTCCCACCCCCCTAAAATCATCATACAGCAGTCTCCTGTGCAGCTGAGAGAGAGCTGTTGATTAGCTATTAGCATATTGAGACCATGTCACAATTAATAATATATATAACATTCCTATATTATTACAAAACTATATATAAAAATATATTTGTATATGGTGTCCTAATGGAAGCTTCTGGAGGCACTTAATATATATGAACATGAGACTAAGAATAAAAATATATAAATTTAATTATACATTAAATGTATAAATATTTAATATCAATAATTATAAATAAATTTTTAAATGTTATAAAATATTTATATAAATTGTATATAATATTGATACAAATTAAGCATACATATCAAAAAATAAAACAATGCAAAACAAAAAAGTAAAACCTTAACAAAATCAGTTTGTGAAGTCTGGTTTATGGACATTTATTTAAATGTTCAAGTATATGTGGAGAGAGAAAAATATTGTGGGTGAAAAAAAATCTATACCCAATTCGAAATTATACATAATGAACAGTGTCACACATTTTTATGTTTATTTTACATTTTTTATTCATTATTTTAGTTTTTGTTCTCCTCTGTTTAAGTCTTATTTTTTGAAAATACACTGTACCTTCTGTTATACCAACAAAGCCCTTTTAAATTAAACTGAACTGAAACAGATTGACAGAGAAAAGGGACGATCATTTTATTTTACCATGATTTCCAGCGAGCCGTTATAGATGCTGCTGGCCCCTTGAGAGCGATCGGTCACCACTGTCAGCTGATGCTTGTCATCCTAAATGCACACAAACATATTAGAATTCTTGACAGGTTAGGCTCAAGGCTGTTTATGAAAATCTGAATGACAACAGAAAGCGAGGATGAAGATAACAAATGAAAGAGAATGTGTCAATGTAAATAAAATTAAACTGACCCTAAAATTTTATTAGGGTCAGTTTAATTTTTTATTTTTTACATAGATATAACAATAATAGACACAGGATCCCAAAAAAGACAAGAAAGCTGACGTGATTGGCTGAATGCCACTTGCCTTGATGTAAGCGCGAGAATTGATTGGATAGTAGTTCCCAGCGACTGGCTCGGTTTGCTTCAATTCCCACGTGGGCCGATAATCTTTCCTACGATGACAAAACAACAAGATTACTTTCCCAACAGCTGAGACACATTACTGTTCAAAAGTTTTTTAATGTTTTTGAAAGAAGTCTCTTACGCTCACCAAGGCTGCATTTGTTTGATCAAAAATATAGTAAAAACAGTAATATTACATTTAAAAATATTTTTTTACATATATTTTAAAATGTCATTGTGATCAACCCTTCTATTTATTTTAATCTCCTCACCGTCTCTCTAGAACCTCTCTGCCATTTGAATCAGTGTAGAAATAGTCAGAGGACTTGATGTCTGTGTCCAAACGAGTGATCACTTCTTTCCCTAAACCATCTCTGAAAGGAGAAAGAGAGCAGATTGTCAGAGAGGAAATGCTATTAAGCCTTCCTTTCATTTTCGCAAAAAAAAATCTATAATCCAGAGAAATGTGTGCATGTGTGTGTTGACTCACGCAACAGGCACGGGTCCCACAGTCCACTCCAGCTCCAGTTCCCTGTGGCCCTCATACAAACGGACAACCTGAGACACCCATGGGCTGAACCTCTGTGTTACCTCTTGAGCTGTGCTGGACACTGTAACGATCTGTGTTTCAGCAGTCTTGTTAATGACGAAGGGGTCTGAAGAATTTGGTCTGAAGATGTAAGCGCCCGACGTCTGACGGCTCTCCTTGTTATTCCCAGCACTTGCATTATACCTGTAATTACCAAAAAGCACCAAAAACACACATTACCTAATTTTTTTGGAATGATTCACTTTTTTGATACATACTAAATCATTAACATACTACATATCATTGTATTTACCTGATACTCCACGGTAATTTAAAAAATAATGTAATATATCAAATCATATCAAAAACTCAAAGGTAATACTATGGTAGATAGAAACTGGAAGGGACAGACTGATTCTGAATCAGCCTAAACTGACCAGTAGAAGTTCTGAGTGAGTTGAATGGTTTGGTCCGTTTCCAGGTTTGTCAGGCTGCTCAACAGACCTGTGGTGTCGTCAAAGGTCACCTTCAAGAACTAAAACGCATACAGAAGAACAGATGTATTATTTATGCTAACTGAAACATGAAATAGTCCAAATATGCAATTTTAGTGATATTTAACACTAGCAAGTCGCTCCAATTTTTCTTGATTGGCAAAACACAACACAAGATCAACAAAACATCACATTTTTTGCGATCCGGCATTTAACTGCAAAATAATCACAAAAAGTGCAGAACTGCTTAAAGTTATTGACACGTTAGTGTGAATGAGGAAAATAAGACAGAGGACGTGTCTGATAGTAAAAAGAGTTCTTAAGCACAATACGATATGGCAAGTTATGTCAAACTACCGATTTTGGCGAGTATTCACACAAATATAATCGGTTATATCATATTCTTTTAATGTTCTTATTTTTAATTCCAAAAATTAAAAAAAACTACTTGTTAAAAATAAACAAAGCATTGCTGTTTTTTATTTTATTTTATATATTTTCATTTAGGAAGGATGCATTAAATAGATCAAAAGTAACCGTAAAGACTTCACATAAATGCCGTTCTTTTGAACTTTCTATTCACCAAAGAATCATGGTTTCCACAAATCATATTAGCATGATTTCTGAAGGATCATGTGACATTGAAGACTGGAGAAATGATGCTAAAAATACAGCTTTGCCATTACAGGAATAAATTACATTTTTAAAATATATTTAAATATTTAAAATTGTATATTTAACATTTTAACAATATTTCACATTATATAACTGTTTTGGTAACACTTTATTTTAAGGACCAGTTCTTACTATTTACTGGTTGCTTATTAGCATGTGTATTACTAGCATATTGGCTGTTTATAAGTACTTATAAAGCACATATTAATTCCTTATTCTGCATATTTTAGATCCCTTAATCCTACCCCATACCTAAACTTACCAACTACCTTACTAACTATTAATAAGGTAAGGGAAAACTTAGTTAATAGTGAATGTGTGTTCCCTATTCTAAAGTGTTACCACTGTTTCTACTGCATTTTTGATCAAATAAATGCAGCCTCGGTGGTAAACGGGTTATTTCAAAAGAGCAAACTAAATCCATTTTTAATAAACAATTTTTTTTAACTATCTTGACATGGTATTTGTCTTGAGTATCTTAGATTAGTGAGGATTTTAAAAAGATTTCCACATGTGCTGCTCCATGTACCTTGTTCTGAATGGAGCGAGTGGCTGTGGGTTTGGCGCTGGATGCTGGAGGCTCATCCCGAAGCATGGAGATGATGTATGTACTGTAGCCAAGAGGAGGAGCTTCAACTTGGAAAACTAGCTCACCTTTAGCATAACCCCTGTTCCGCCTTACTTCCTGTGTGGACTTAGACAGTGGAACCACCTGACAGACAGCAGGGGAAGTAGACATGATGATTTCATATAATAAATGTAGCATGTACACTTAAGTGATATAAACACATTTCCAACCTGACTGTCCACTGCTCTCCCGTTTGCATCAGTAACATTGTACACTGAACCATTGACAGGCAAACGAACAGGCCAGCTTACAGTCCTGCCCAGAGGATTGTACACATTCATAGAGAACTGAGAGCAAATAAGAAATAGAAAGATCATCATTCAATAGTGAATGGGCTTTTTATTGTATGAACGCATTTACTGAAATCTGTGTATAGTACCTTATGGCTGCTTTCTGTGAGGGGACACACACTGATGTTGAGATTCTCACAGAACACACGTGGAGCTTCAGAACCACTGAGAACAGCCAGAGAATTACGAACCAGCACCTAAAACATGAAAGGCAGAGTGGCTAGGGTGTTTGAGTGGTGGCTAGGATGTTCTGGGTGGTGGTTTGGGCATTACTATATAGTTGCTAGTGTGTTTAAGAGTTGTTACTAGGAAGTTCCTGTGAGGTTTCTAGACATGCAGAATAAATGACAGCTTATGTTTTTGTACCTCACAATGTGCCCAGCCTGTAGCCAGTCTCCTAGCATAGTCATATGCCACATGCTGTTTCTCTGTCCCAGACACAGCATCGTGATGTTGGGCAACACCCATCGCCCTCTCTAAGCGACAAGACAAAATGTCAAACAGACCAATCAGAAGTGACATATTTGAACAGATGTAGACTTACTCATGGTATCACTGTCCCCTTCACCAAAGGGTCCTGATTTGGACTTGGGCCCACCAAGCACCTCCAACTGGTTGCATGTCTAGAAGATCAAAATCAGACAATACAGATTAGAAAGAATCGCAGACCCAGAGTCATCTGATCTATGACAGCGCTGTAGTGTGTGGTGGCCTCATCACTCATGCACCAGCCACCATTTATGAACTCAAGACGACCTATGAAGAAAGAGAGAAATTCATATAATTCATGAAATGTGTGAAAAATATTTTTCACTTTAATCCAAAATATTTGGGGGAAATAATTATATAATTTCGGGGTGAGAAAAAAGTATTCTAGTACTTTTTACATCACATTTTTAGCGTAATTAAATTTAGAATAAAGTTTTGCATCAATTTTGTAAAAATGTGTTTTGAATATATGTTCTAATCTTTTTTATTTATTTATTTTTTGTATTATTATTTTCACTTTTGTCAAATAAGTTTTTATTCAGCCATTGAATAACCTTGAAATAATTAAAGAAATAAGAAAAGAAAAAAGAAATAAGGATTAATTTTCTTTTATGCACAAAATAGAAACTTATTAAAAAAAAATATATATATATATATAAAATAAAAAATATATAATAATAATAATAATTAAAAATTTTTTTAAAAACCCTTAAATGTAACACCCCTTCCCCAGCCTGTTAATGTACAATACAGTGGCATAAACACACAACGTTTAAATTACAATACATTGCTTTAAGGAATATAATTCCTATCGAGGTAACAGAAGAAAGGGTCCCAGATCTTGTATATATATATATATATATATATATATATATATATATAAAATATATATAATAATAATAATAATTAAAACATTTTTTAAAAACCCTTAAATGTAACACCCCTTCCCCAGCCTGTTAATGTACAATACAGTGGCATAAACACACAACGTTTAAATTACAATACATTGCTTTAAGGAATATAATTCCTATCGAGGTAACAGAAGAAAGGGTCCCAGATCTTGTATTATTTTCACTTTTGTATACTTATATATATATAAAAAAAATTTTTTTACTATCTCAAACCTAAAAACAAATACCCTCCTCACCCTCATTGACCAGCTGTGCTACAATTTTCTGTGTGCTCTGGCTCTGTTGCCTCCACCAGCGGTAAAAGAAGGCCGTCTCTACGTAGATGAACCTTCGGGCTGGATCCTTCTGTAGCTGGTCTATTACCGAGTCCAAAATATACTGAACTCCTGCATGCTGGATGTTGTTTCGGTCTGAAAAAAACCATAACTGGATTAAAAAACTGAGGTTTGTGCTTTAATTACATGCCTGAACCTGCCTGACACCAGAAAAACGTATTATGCTGTGAGGTTAAACATTAAGTTTTACCACTCCAATGCGTTGCCGTTATCATATGACAAGCAACGCATAAATCACTGGACAGTCACATGAAGAATGCGATCTACATACCAATGCAAGTTACGAACAAACACTTTCAAGTCAGACATGAGCAAATCTTCACCTCCATAGTAGTACTGATCCACAGTCTTGAGCCAGCCAACATCATCATGTGTGTGAGGAACCAGATGGACATTCAGCATGGAAGGATTTGTGGCTGGACATGACTGCAGAGATTCAACAAGGCCATTATCAGTGGAGAGATACAACAATAATAGCTTTACTTCCTCATTTATACAATCATTTCATTTTTATTTTACTGGTATATGTACAAAAACATGGCATTGCTAAGGTACCTGCCCAAATCACTATAGTAATAGAGTGACAATAGGTGCAAAAATTACGAATTAAAAATAATAAATACATTTTGGTACGTTTTTGTTATTGTATATTTACCCCAATGTTTTACATTTAGTCAAAACTTTCTTAAAGGTCCTACAACGAAGAACTTAAAAATATTCACACATTAAGCCAAAACTCACCCTATAACCGCAAATGGAGTTTCGACCTGTGGGTAAAGAAAAAACAAGACAGAAGAATAGCTGGAACAGAAAACTGAGGTACAGCACAGCCATGATGAAAATGAAGCTACAATCACATGACAGCCGAATTTGTGTTGTGTCACGTGACTTCTCCTCCAATAGCTTACGAATAAACAAAATAAAAGTTCTTAAATATCTACAAAATAAAAGGTCAGAATAAAATCATCTATAAAAATACAGGACTACCGTGAATTAAAAGATTTAAAAGTATTATATTATATTATATTATATTATATTATATTATATTATATTATATTATATTATATTATATTATATTATATTATATTATATTATATTATATTATATTATATTATATTATATTATATTATATTATATTATATTATATTATATTATATTATATTATATTATATTATATTATATTATATTATATTATATTATATTATATTATATTATATTATATTATATTATATTATATTATATTATATTATAGTATTGCTTCCACCACAACAAGCAATTCTACCCCTAGTAAAATTATTTTTGAAGCATACCTGTTTATTAAGGAGACAACAGTATATTTTAAAAATAACCTGCCTACCACATCTAAACTGTTAGAACATAAAGAACATAAAAAAAATGTTATAAACTTTTTTCTTTTTTCAGGGATTTTTCCCCCCACATTGCTTCAGTCAGTATCCTGTTCACAAAGACACATGTACTCTTCTTAAGAGAGGAAGCTTTTACAGCTGTGGTTTACTACCTCCTCATCTGTCTGCGGCTGGGACCATGATGACCTGACCTTTTATCTACTTCATTCTCTGCACTCCCTTTTCCTTCCCCCTCCATCTCGCGGGTTTGCTTTGCAAGGGTCATGTAGGCCACCCACCATCTATCTCCTGCCTGACTTCCATAACAAGTAGCTAACATTCCGCAGATCTAAAGAAGTGGTCAAAAATCTTCAAAAACTCTTAAAGGTTTTTAAAAACATTATAATGTAAATCAGGATGTCTTTTTGACTTTATTAGTACTTCATGTTAAACACAGATTTTGTTTATTTATTTTTTTATTAAAATGAGTAGCTACATCTTATTGAAGGGATTATCATAGAAGCTGAAGAAACAACTCTGGTAGGACATTTTCTTGAACAGGCGTTTAAAGCATTACGTCAGAAGTGCCTCTAGTTAGACCAAGTCATTCATCATCATCTCAAATGTCAGACTATTGTACAATCAAAGGATTTACCAATCAAAATATTAAATTTCATATTACATGCAGAATGACTCCCCCTGTGGTTGTCCCTGCAAAATTATTCAAGCAACTTTGACTTTATATTGTGAGAATAAAAACCCAAAAGAAGCCTAAAAGGCAGTCCAGCATGAGCCCGAAGAAAAAAAGATTTGAAGGGTGCCTCTGTGACTAAAGGCTTTGTTCACACTTTAGTCTCTTCATGAAAAGACAAGCTAAAGGATGAGCCACATCGAAAGGAATCCAAGATCATGTTGCTGCATAGATTTTCACTCAAAGGCTCAAACTGGGCTGTTGTAGATCTGTGAGGAATCTCTGTTCTTTGTACAGCCATGTAGAATTGGTACAAATAATTTTAGATCTAAACAAGCATTAACTAGCCCTATTAGCCTATCTTGCATAGTGTTTATTTCTGGAATGTCATTATGTTTCATTATGTTTTGTTTTTTGACATGTTGCTGTTTATTTCCTTTCTTTTGATTAGCATGAAACACTTTACTTACTAATACTTTATTTAAAAAATAGGAAACAACACCTTTAGTTTGCTATGTTGCTTGACAATCATAAACATATTATATTATATTATTGGTGTTTATATATTTATCTCTTGTGGCTTACTGCTATATTATGAACTTTTAAGTCTGTTAAAGTAAACTTCATACTAATTAATTAATTAATTAATTAAGTGTTAGGACTATCAGCATTTTGAGATAAAACCGATCCTTTCAGACAAGTGCTATACAGTAGCTTATTACAACACATTGCACCAAACACCTGGTTTAAATCAGAGGAGGGCCACAGCCAGAATGTGCAATGTTTTCCCCTGTTGCTGCTCTGTAAACATTTAGATAATAGTATGAGGCTACCACCGTCTAAACCGCTTACAGCCTCCTGCATCTACTCACCTAGCAGTATTTCTCTGTTTATGTTGTTGCAGGAAGAATCCAAGCACATGTGTCTTTAGATGAACCAAATATTCTGTAACATAAAAGATCTGTGAATTGTATGCATGCTGTATGAAATCTGACAAAAGGAATGCATGAGAAAAAAAAAAGGAAAGTGAAAGGGAACAGCTGAGGAAAAATATATGACATCATTGTCGAAAAGCAAGGCCACGGAGAGGGCTCGACTTTGTGTTTCTGACTCTTATCTGCCCACAACGTCTTATTGGGGAGGAAGCTTTTAGAGCTTGAGTTTGCAGCCCTCTTTCCCTCCAAATGGGGCCATGTGATGACCTCACCCTGTTTCTATGAAGCATACCTGTTTATTAAGGAGACAACAGTATATTTTAAAAATAACCTGCCTACCACATCTAAACTGTTAGAACATAAAGAACATAAAAAAAATGTTATAAACTTTTTTCTTTTTTCAGGGATTTTTCCCCCCACATTGCTTCAGTCAGTATCCTGTTCACAAAGACACATGTACTCTTCTTAAGAGAGGAAGCTTTTACAGCTGTGGTTTACTACCTCCTCATCTGTCTGCGGCTGGGACCATGATGACCTGACCTTTTATCTACTTCATTCTCTGCACTCCCTTTTCCTTCCCCCTCCATCTCGCGGGTTTGCTTTGCAAGGGTCATGTAGGCCACCCACCATCTATCTCCTGCCTGACTTCCATAACAAGTAGCTAACATTCCGCAGATCTAAAGAAGTGGTCAAAAATCTTCAAAAACTCTTAAAGGTTTTTAAAAACATTATAATGTAAATCAGGATGTCTTTTTGACTTTATTAGTACTTCATGTTAAACACAGATTTTGTTTATTTATTTTTTTATTAAAATGAGTAGCTACATCTTATTGAAGGGATTATCATAGAAGCTGAAGAAACAACTCTGGTAGGACATTTCCTTGAACAGGCGTTTAAAGCATTACGTCAGAAGTGCCTCTAGTTAGACCAAGTCATTCATCATCATCTCAAATGTCAGACTATTGTACAATCAAAGGATTTACCAATCAAAATATTAAATTTCATATTACATGCAGAATGACTCCCCCTGTGGTTGTCCCTGCAAAATTATTCAAGCAACTTTGACTTTATATTGTGAGAATAAAAACCCAAAAGAAGCCTAAAAGGCAGTCCAGCATGAGCCCGAAGAAAAAAAGATTTGAAGGGAGCCTCTGTGACTAAAGGCTTTGTTCACACTTTAGTCTCTTCATGAAAAGACAAGCTAAAGGATGAGCCACATCGAAAGGAATCCAAGATCATGTTGCTGCATAGATTTTCACTCAAAGGCTCAAACTGGGCTGTTGTAGATCTGTGAGGAATCTCTGTTCTTTGTACAGCCATGTAGAATTGGTACAAATAATTTTAGATCTAAACAAGCATTAACTAGCCCTATTAGCCTATCTTGCATAGTGTTTATTTCTGGAATGTCATTATGTTTCATTATGTTTTGTTTTTTGACATGTTGCTGTTTATTTCCTTTCTTTTGATTAGCATGAAACACTTTACTTACTAATACTTTATTTAAAAAATAGGAAACAACACCTTTAGTTTGCTATGTTGCTTGACAATCATAAACATATTATATTATATTATTGGTGTTTATATATTTATCTCTTGTGGCTTACTGCTATATTATGAACTTTTAAGTCTGTTAAAGTAAACTTCATACTAATTAATTAATTAATTAATTAAGTGTTAGGACTATCAGCATTTTGAGATAAAACCGATCCTTTCAGACAAGTGCTATACAGTAGCTTATTACAACACATTGCACCAAACACCTGGTTTAAATCAGAGGAGGGCCACAGCCAGAATGTGCAATGTTTTCCCCTGTTGCTGCTCTGTAAACATTTAGATAATAGTATGAGGCTACCACCGTCTAAACCGCTTACAGCCTCCTGCATCTACTCACCTAGCAGTATTTCTCTGTTTATGTTGTTGCAGGAAGAATCCAAGCACATGTGTCTTTAGATGAACCAAATATTCTGTAACATAAAAGATCTGTGAATTGTATGCATGCTGTAGAAAATCTGACAAAAGGAATGCATGAGAAAAAAAAAAGGAAAGTGAAAGGGAACAGCTGAGGAAAAATATATGACATCATTGTCGAAAAGCAAGGCCACGGAGAGGGCTCGACTTTGTGTTTCTGACTCTTATCTGCTCACAATGTCTTATTGGGGAGGAAGCTTTTAGAGCTTGAGTTTGCAGCCCTCTCTCCCTCCATATGGGGCCATGTGATGACCTCACCCTGTTTCTACTAAACTCTCTCTTACTCCTCTCCTCCCTCACCCCCCTCTCGCTTTCTCATAGTCTGTGCAGGAGTGAGGCTGGAGTCACGTTCTCCACAGTTCCTGCAGTCTGCATCTCAAAAGTATATCTACAGTGTCTCAGAAGACTTCAAAGTGGACCATTTAGCTTTGTTGACTGACTTGGTTTACTCAGGCTTGGATTTACCAGAAGGAGGATTCTTTTAAACATTGAGAATGGTGTTTTATTGTTTTATGCTTATTGTTCCTCAATCAGATGATTAAAGCAAGAACAGCAATGAAGAGGATCCAACCTTTCACTATCGGGACCAAGTTATCTGTCCCCTCCGAAAACAAATGTCTGGATTATGTGAGCATCATGCTTCCTGTACCAGTTCTGGACTGCTGTGAACTAAGAAACGACTCAAACAATGACAATTCTCCTTTCCATGAGGACAGAGTGTCCACATCTACACCTGTGGAGGGACTTTCAGACGATATTAAAGAGGAAGATGACAGGAACTCTGTGTCCCCACCAGCTTCCTCCAGATCCATCAGGAAGATCGCTATGTGTGCAAATGCTGAAAACCAGACTGTCACTAACTTTAATGTGACAAACTGTGAGACAAACAAGCCAAGTACTTCTACTGAAAAGCTGTTTCTTATTGAGGAAAGTGACAAGCCCGGTGCACAGCTGGAGGTGAGCAAAACTGCATTGTTTTCCTGTGGTGGACAATATATAGCTAGAAATGATTTGCTTCTTTGCACATAGAGACATACAGTACTTTAAAGTTATATTACAAAATATTACAGTCATGTATCTTCTTAAATTTTTTGAATGAAATTATAAAATATTAGTTATAATTGTAAATGATAAAATTGTATGTATATATATATATATATATATATATATATTTCTACAACATTATCTTTTACAATTATAGCTAATATTTTATAATTTCATTCAAAAACGTAAAGATGATACGTGACTGCATTAGATAACAAAATATCAAAACAAGTGGCATTTAATTTTAAATAAATATTATAACCAAAAGGTTTATTGGGTTTTAAATAATAATTATAGAATTATAGAATTTAATTTATAGAATTAAAATTTTGTATATATATATATATAATATGAAATTAATTGTATTAATTTTAAATATTGTATTTAATTTAAATATATGTATATATTTAATTTTGAACATAATAATTCATATTTATATAACATATAATGATATAAAGTATATGTGTATGTGTGTGTGTGTGTGTATATGCATGTATGTATATATGTATATATATATATCTA